TTCCTTATTATATGGTAGCTGTCAAGTTACGAACAACCTGTGAAAGAAACCATCAATATTCCAAGGGACAAGAACTTAGAATTTCTTCATAGCCTCTACTCAGTGATACTTGGGACTGTCACTCTTACCCACTTGGTCAAATATGGTTGAGTACCTACCACATGGGAGGCGGAGTTCTCTCATCTCTGCTCACTGCCAGCAAAATCAGAGCATCATCCAGATTCTTCTCTCAGTCACCACACCAGAGGTATAAACATGAGTAGCCAAGTCCTTCCCTCCCACAAAGCCAGTTCTACTTACCCAAAGGGGCCCACCAGGCATTTCCAGTCTCTTTTCCACCTCCAACTCAACAAGACTTCTTTTCTCCAAGACTTGCTAAAAAATCATTCTTTGACATTTCTCCCCATAAGGGAAGTGTCTCGAGCCAGCCAAGAAGCCAAAAGAAGCATAAAATCAGCAGGTAAGTCAAGCCACCAGGCCTCAAGTGTACCTAGCTTTGGATAAACCCCTGGCTTTGTTCCTATCTCAGCCTGTCCAGCTTTGTCACACCTCTCTGCTCCTTACAGCATGATTCGGGGCCCACAGATCACCCAGTTCCAAAACTCCCCCAGTTAGAATTATAGATTTAAACAGCGAGAGGAAAAAGCCATTCTCCCTTCTGCCCCTGAGCGTACCAGCACTGAAGCCACAGCCCACACCCTTTCCCTTAAATCCAACACAGTTAGAGAGGCTACCTCCCACCATCCCTTCTTTGCCAACTACAAAGCAGGTTCCAGCCATTGCATTTCTGCAGTCATTAAATCAGGCCTCCCAATTAAGGAGTTTGCAACTTCTGCTCACCTTAGAAATCACTTCAGGATCTGAGATGCAAATCACACCATGTAATTCGACCATCAGGGGAAACTCAGAACAGACAAATAGTTTGTGTCAGGCCCCCTCTTCTTCCCACTCCCCACAACCCAGGGGACAATGACCAGGAGCAATTAGTGCTGTTGTGTCTCACAGCACTTCCCAGCTACATCTCAACTGATAATGGCTCCCCTTGCAGTATTAATTAAAAACATACTCTTTTTGGCAAAACCCGGAAGAACAGTTTCTGTGGCAGGCTTCTTTATTAAGCCTCCGAGAAGGCAAAATACATTAAGATATTGTGACACAGGAACTGTGAGCAGGGACGTTGAAGGCTAGACAATCCAGCCAAAAGCTATTTGAAAAATCTGTTTGGGAGCCACAATTAGATGCTCCAGTGAGTGAAGTACAATTAATCTGATCAAATCTGTCACTATTTTGCGCATTAGGAGTAAATATTTCAGAACACAGTCCAGCTGAATTAGTTAAGGAAATGAAATCCTGCCTGGGAGAATCTGTGTATTCCACCTCCTAGTGTGCTCAGGGAAGGGTGATGAGGAAGGGACCTGGAATGACCAGCATCTCCCCATTTCTCCTTACCAAGGTGCAGCATTGGGCACCTTGGTTAATGAAAAACTCTCTGGCAAGTCATTCCAAGCAGACACACTGCAAGGTAGGCAGCCTGCAAATCGCTGTCACTGCCAGTGAGCTGCTGGAAAAGTCTGGGGAATCCTCAAAGGGAGAATTCACAAGGTGGGAGACCCCCATCAAGGGTCACTCAAAGGAGGAGGGGCCTGGAGAAGTAGACTGTTGCCGTCACAACTTTCTACTCTCCACAGCCATTTGCCAACTCACTGAGCAAGCTAGGAGGCATCTTCTTTCATTTGAAGGAGGAGGGCAGAATGATGTGTTTTCCTGTTTCCCTGTAAGCCATGGGGACTGGGCTCCCTCTGGGTGTTTGTGAAACACTCTCTAGCCCATAAATCACCAGGACCCCAGCTGGAGACAACAGAGAGAAAGAATGGCAACTTGCTCCTCCAGAATAAAGGATCCAAGCCCAAGTCCACTCACTTCTCACCTGGAATACGTGGTAGGTAATAATCAGAGAGGGAACCCATACTCCCTCCCCTCCTGATGACTTCTGGGCACTTCCTCCTTTGCCCCCACCCTCACCCCCACCCCCAAGCCATCCAACCCAGTCTTGGAACCAAAATGAATACCTGGTCCAAACCTTGGACAAGGATCTCCTTCTGCCTCCTCCCCCTCCCCTGGACACACACTGGGCACTTGGTTTGGGGTGAAATCTTATCTTGCATATTCAGCTTCACGTGCCTGGCTGAAAACTATCAAGAGTGGAGTCCAAACTTTCAGTTATATGGGGTGACTGAAAATTCCCCAAAAGGGAATTATTGTCAAGGAATGAAATCCACAAAAGGCACTTGCAAAGACAGCAGAAACCAGCAACGTGTTAACAGTTAAACCCGTGGCCTTCCCAGAGAGAGACACATTTAAGACTAATGAAGTCAGATAAGATGGAATTCTCTTTTCATGTCAAAAAAGCCTAGTGCTAGGACACATGTTCTCTGCACTGGGGACATCTCCCTCCACTTTGAAACTAACCATGAATGCACCTTCCAGAAGGTTCATCATCCCGAACACTCTTCACTCTGGCTTTTATTTTTAGCACCTTCTTTTGCTGCCTTCAGGAAAGGGAAGGGGGGAAAGAAACCAACTGTAATGTTGCAGAATCTGGCTTCCCAGTTCCTCTCCCAGGGGATGTTTCCTTAAAGTCTCTCAAACACAGGGCCATGTTAACATGTTTCCCCATCTTCCCTCAATGAAGCCTTTCTCACAGAATTGCCCACAAATCAGGGGCAGAAGAGGCAGGTCCAGCCCAAGAGCTAAAGAAGCAGTCCCCCTCTGGATGGGAGAAGAGGACGGGATGGGGTCCCTGCACCCACCTGTACTGCCTAGTCCTTCACTTGGACTGTAAGACTAAGACTGTCCAAGAACACAGCCAATGAGCACCCAGGGAGAAGGGGAGTACTGTTTGTGGATTGCCCAAATTCATGGTGATCACTGAGTATTTCTAGCAGTCTAAGGTCTCACTAGCCAGGCTTGTTTGCCCCTCTTTCAACTAAAGAGCCATTTCCCCAGGGGCCATAGGGCTAGACTTGCCCCCCTCACTTCCTTTGTTGAACATTGCATGGAAGGTGGGCAGAGAAGGCCACACACATGTAACTATGGTCTACAGAAAGCATCCTCTCTAGAAAGTCTCATTTTCAGGGGCTGTGCCAACACACAAAAATGATCCTTAAAATATAAGCGGGGACGTAAGAAAACTCTTTAGGCAGTGTGAATTTATATTGTCCAAACATATCAGTAATAAAAGTCATAGATATATAAACACATCACTTCCTCTTAAGAATACATTTATTTCCACACATTCTGTCCATCCTCCTCACCTAGTTAGAATATGACGGATGGCACACACATATACACACACACAATTTCTCATTAACAAACTAAAATGAAGTTAGGATTCACAGCCCCTGCTGTCAGAGAATTCTCCCCACTCCCCCATCCTCTGAGCACCTGGAAGTCTTCAGTCACCCATCCCTGCAAAGGCTTGGATGGGTTGCTCCCCGCCCCCCACCCCGCCACAATGCACAGAGCTGCCCACTCCGAAGCTATGGGGGTCTTCATCGAACGCAGATTAAGGCTGACCCTGTGCTGCTGGAAGCTGGACTGCACAAGTCCCTCCCACCAGCATCCATCACCCACGCTGGGCCGCCTGTGCTGTGCGGTGTGTCGTTAAGAACCAGGAAATCTGTACTCAGTATAGCTGACGTGCTGTGCTCTGAGGACATCAAGCTTTCCTGGTATTAACTACTCACCCTGGTGATACTCCCAGGCCCCTTTAAAATAAGGGCAAAATTTCCCAAGGAAATAATTAATGCCAATCATGAACAGAAATACAAAGGAGGAAGGGAGTTGGTGCTTTCTCATCAAATGAGTTCCCCAAAGCTGCCTGTACAGATATAACCATCATCCTCCAGTCGGCCTGACGCCGGGGTCTGATCTGATCTGAGAGCCAGAGAAGAGGAAAGGATTTTTACGAGACTGGCTGAAAGTGGGGGCGGTGGAAGGGAGGGGAGTGGAGTAGATCGTGAGTGGCCGCCCCCTTCCGCCCCAGTCCAAGGCTTGGCTGCACAGCTTGAGTGCTGGCGGGAAGGGGGTGGGGGGACCCCCTCCATGCACGCTCTTCGGGCTGCTGCAGCTGCCGGGCAGGCCACGCTCAGAGCCCGGCTGCCAGGGCAGGAGCCGCGGTAGAGGACTCGCGGGCGCCACCTCTCGGTGCAGCCGCTTCCAGGGCAACCTGGCAGCGGAAAGGAGTGAAGCGCAGAAAGCACAGGGACCCAACTCCACTCCGGAAGCCGCGGGGCCTTCTGTGTGCAGGACGTGGCGGCGGAGACGAGTTTTTTGCTCAGTGACTTATGTGTGCTGGTGCAAGCGCGTGGGCGAGGGGTGCGGGATGGGGGTTGAATTTCATTTCAAGCTTTAAACTTTTTTACTGCCTCTCCTATAGCTTTCCAGCGCAGCTGCGTGGGTTTGGAGGGGGTAATCAGTGTTACCTGAAGACCCAGCACCCGCCGTGGCTGGGAGACTGTGCACCTAGAGCAGAGAGCAGCGGGTACGGGAGTCGGAGTGGCCTCCATCTCCCGGGTTCCCTTTCGCGAGAGTAAAGGCGAGAAATGGGGAGCCCCGGCAGTGGCAGAATTCGACAGTCTGTCCAGCGGCTCCTTCCCCAAAGCATTCCTGCCCTCACCCACGAATTCAAGCATGCAACTGGAAAACGGACTCTCCAAGAAACTGACCACAGATCCGTCCTCCCCTGCTCATCTTTAAGGCACCTTTCCCCTCTCCCCTCCAGGCGGCCAGTAAACAAACGCACACACCATCTTAAAACAAACTCCACTAACCTGTTGGGGACGTGGGGGAAGCGAAATGAACCTGTTCTCTCTAAAACTCAAGGAACCCCCCTCTCCATGCCTCTGCCTCGACCCTTGAGCAACTATGCGTCCCTCGTTCCCGCCCCCCATTCTCCTTGCTGCCAGGAGACCGAGATCCGCCACCGAGTGGGTACTCACGCTGCTGTTGTGTCCCGACCAGTGCACCATGGCTTGGTTGTGGGCCGAGTCCCCGGTCAGCGCGAACGAGGTGCTGGGCAGCAGGAGCTCTTCGGCCGCCGCCCCCCCGGCCCGCGGCGCCTTCACCTCCTCCCGGAGACCTTTGGCCACATGGCGGTTTCCTCTGGAACCATCGGCCAAGGCAGTGGCCCAGCTGTTCCCGCGTTCCAGGGCACTCGGGGGCTGCGCCCGGCGACTCCTCCTCGCGCCGCCTGACTTGCCAGGAGCAAGGATGTCCTGTTCCCACCGCGCGCCTGCGGGCGATGGCCCCGCGGCTTCTCCTTGCTTCTTTCCTCCTCTACCGCCGCCTGGCTGGGGTAGAGGCTCGGGTCCGGACCGGTGCCCCAGCGCGGCGTCCCTCCGCGCCGTCCCCGGCTCCTCTGGCCACTGGCTTGCCAACGACCGCGGCGTAAGAGGAGGCAGAGCCGGCGGACGCGAAGCCGGGGCCGCGGGGCGCCCAGGACCACCCGTCGCGCCCCAAGTGATCTCGGCGCCAGCCAGAACCCACGTCGACAGAAGCAGGAGCCCCGTCCGGGCGAGGGGCGCCCCGGGCCAGCCTGCAGGGCGCTCGGTGCGCGCCGCCTCCATCCCGCTGCGGCTGCCGAGGCTCGGGCTGCCGAGTGTGTGGCGCCCGCCGAGGTGCGGGTCCGGCGCGGGGGGTGTGCGCGCGCCGACGAGCAGGCGAGCGAGTGTGTGCTGGGGGAGCGGGGAGGGGGTGGCCGGGAAGGAGGGGGCTCCGGCTGGCGCGCCTCGCGGGTCCTCTCCGCTCTTCCCTCCTCGCTCTCGATCGCTCGCTCTTTCGTCCAGAGGGTGATTCCAAAACCCAAGAAAAATTAATAAATGTCCCTTCAATGTTTTTTATTCTTAAAATATGATACCCCAAAGTCTTTCCCACCGAGCTCCTCCAGAAATTTTGTAAAATGTAGTAATCAAAGGTAATGAGAAAATCCTCTTTTAATATGAAAATGAAGCTGGATCCACGAGGAGGGGCTGGCGGCGGACCCCAATCCAGAGACTCTCCGAAATCCAGCCTCCTCCAACCTGCTCCCGCCTAAGAGTTGGGAGCCGCTTCTCGCCGCGTTTGGGGTGGTCACTCTCCCGGCCTGCTGCGGGAGGCGGGAGGCGGCGCGCGGAGAGGGTGGGAGGGCTCACGCGCAAGGAGGAAGAGGAGGAAAGTGTTTTCAGCGCCAACTGTTCGGGCTCGGGAGCCAAGGGGGAGACCAGAGCTTCGCGCGGGGAAGCAGCGCGCAGAAGCCCGGCGCGGGATGGACCGGGGACTCCTCTCCCCGCTCCTCCCTCCGCCCCCGTCTCCAGCGGCTCGCGCCCCCGCCCGCTGCGGGGGCGCGGGGAGTGCGTGCGTGCGCGTGCGTGCGCGCAGGCCGGCGTGAGTGACTGAGGCGAGGGGTGAGCCCGCGGCCCGCGGGGACCGTCGCGCGGTGCGGGTACCTGGATGAGCTGTGGGGTGTCAGGGTGTTCGGGGGTCCGCGGCCCCTTGCGTGCCCGTTTACACGCGCATGTGTGCGTGTTAGTGTGAGCGATGGGGTGTGGGGTGGGGAGGAGTGCGCTCGGGCCGTGGGCGCGCGCGGATCACGCAGGCTGTGTTTGCATTTCCACGAGCCTGCGAGTCGTCAAAAAGGCGATACTAAGATCAAGGCAAGCCGCTCCGGACGTCCCCCTTCTGGTGCCCCCCGCACAACGGTCCCCCACCTTCCGCGGAGGTAACCTGGTTTCCTCGAGCTTCCCGAAGGCCCGGGGAGAGCCCTGGGACGCGCCGGCAGCAGGGTCAGGAGCCTGCCAGCTTTTCCCCGATTCATGGGGGACCGATTCATTCTCCTTCTTGGGATCCCCGGCCAGAGCTGGGTAGAGACGGTCGAGACCGTTCGCTCCTACCGGGAGGATCCAGCCTCCACATTCCCGCCTGGGACTGTGAGGTTACACCCTTACTCTCCCTAGATTCGTTTCTGAGCGGGCTTGGTTGTTCTTTCAAAGTATTGGCCGCCACTTGGAGGATCAACCGCATCAGCCCACCCCTCAGTACCCCCACTGCAGAAGCGTAACCTGGGCGCGTGGGACCCATCTTAGAGGAAGAGGGGGACTTGAGGTGGGCCGGAGAGAGGGAAGCGAAACTCGAGAACGTCCTCGAGACGCGGCTTACAAGGCCTCGGGGTAAGGAGCGCAGCCCGCCGCCTCCCAGAAGCTCCCGGATTTCTAGGGGTTAAACAGGCGAGGTGCGGGGAGCTGGAGGAGGGGCTGCTGAGAAAGTAGTAGGCAGCCAGTACGGAGCGGGGCGAGCGTGATGGCCTCCGGGCCATTCCCGTCCTCTTCGGGCTTCAACGAAGAGTTCGTTTGTGGGAAATGGTAAAATCCAGGCGAGAAGGGAGAGAAACGCCGGGCGAAGGTAACTGAACGGAGCGGAAGATGGAGAAAGAGAACGGAAGGGAGACGAGAGGAGAGATGCAGTGGAAGGGGCAAGGCGAGATACTGGTGCGCAAGGAAAAGGGGGAGGAAAGAAGCCAAAGAGCGCCTGGGGAGGGCCCCGAGGGGTGGAGGAGGCAGGGCCAGAGCCTGGCGGCCGGAGCCGGGGGCCGAGGCGGCCGTCCGCCAGGCCCGGGAGCCCCCAAGCTCGCGACTTGCTTCCCCATCGGAGCTCACACGGGCATTGGAAACTGAGGTCGCTATACCGGAGAACCCAGCCCGTGACAACGCTCAGCTCACAATGAGGCAGGTCCTGCAGTGTGTGGGTCTCCAAACACCGCGGGCGGCCAGCCGCCCCAAGAAAAGTTCCCGCGCGTGAGGCTGAGGTGCGCGCGGAACTGGGCGCAGTACCGGAGCCGGTCATCCGCGGGTTCCCAGCGCCCCTGCCGGGGAAGGCCCGGCGCTGCAGCCCCGCCCGAGCCCGCGCGGTTCGAGAGGGAGGCGAGCGAGGCCTGCCAAGGCCCCGGACAGAGGGGCTAGGGTCCAGAGGGTGAGGGCTCTGCGCTGTCAGGAAGGCTTCCCGGACAGGACACTCATCCAACCCGGAGGATGCGGTCTCCCAAGCCCCGGCCCACAGGGCAGGTGCGCTAGCTACCAATTCCTAACGCTCCCAGCAGCCCCCCCACGGAGGGCAGTCGTGTGCAAGAGCAAGGCTCCCTCTTCCCCGGGAAGCAGGCCGTACCCGGATGCAGCTCGTGGAAAGGTCAGATCCTCGAGATTGACTTGCAGAGGTGTGGCTATTAAGCATTTGGGGAAAATGTATAAATGTGGCAGGTGTAGTATTTCCACCTGTCTCCTGCACCAATTCATTCTCTTGGCGTTGCACCATCGATTATCGCCTCCCCCGTCTATCTTAAGTCTCTCCCTCCTTTTACCCTTTGCCTGACTGTCGTTGCCCTCAGCCGTGGACTGCCGCTCTCTCCGCAGCCTCCTGCTCCCCACTAACTTTCTCTAGTGCCCAGACCTCTTCAAAGAGTTCTCCCCTATACCTGCCAGCCATTCTCAGCGAGACTTTCCGCAATCTGACATTTGCCTTAAGGTGACTCATCAAAGCCCTACCCCCAACAAACACCACCTGGTGGCTTCCTGAGGCAGCCCACCCAACAACCTCTGTTCCTTGCATTTGTAGGCAAGTTCCACCTAGAAAGATCTCTCTTAGTCTGCATGGTACCCAGGGCACCGGGGTCCTCCCAGACCAGCCTCAGTCAAGTTCACCAGCCTCTCTTCTCCCATCCACATACTAAATACTGAGCCCCAGCCTCTACCATTCCCCCGATTCTCTGCATTTGGCTCTTTTTCTACCGTCCCTCTGTGAATGATAATGATCTCACCCCTTTCTGTGCTTCAACTATGGCCTCTGGTTGTTGACTCCTAAATCTACAACCCCACTCTGTCCTCTTTCTTGAGCTTCACACCTGAATTCCCCCATTGCTCCATAGACATGCATGTCCACGTTGAAACCTATATGCAACAAGTTCTCAAAACCACCCTCCTCATCTCAGTCACCTACACTAGGCAGTTAACATGCAACCATGACTCCCCCTCTTTCTAATCCCTAGATCCAGAAAAATAATTGTCAGGTCATATTTAAGAAGCCTTTTGCCTGTCCTCTCTTGTGTGTTCCCAGTCACTGGCTTAACTCTGACCCTCATCATCTCTTGCCTAGGGTTTTTCTGTAGCTTTCTATCTTCTCCTGATCTTCAGTTCTTTCCTTCAAGTCAGCCTCCACACTGGTGCTGTCCAATAAAAGGATAGTATGAGCCATGTAGGTAATTTTAAATTTTCTAGTGGCTTCATTAAAAAGTAAAAAGGAAAATAATGAAATTAATTTTAATTTACTGTACTGAATTGAATATATCCAAAATACTCTTGTTTCAGCTTGTAATCAGCATAAAAATTACTCAAGTGTTTTTTGCATATTTGCATAAGTCTTCAAAATCCAGTGTGTATTTTATACTTGGAGCACATTTCAGTTCAGACTAGCTACATTTTAAGTGCTCAATAACTGCATGTGACTAGAGACTATTGTTTTAGACAGCACAGCTCCACACTATTGACAGAAATAGCCTCTTAAAACATAAGGAAGATTATGGCATGGATTGCCCTCAAAATTCTTCATGATCAGCCATTGTCTTTAAAGTACAAACTTCTCAGAATGGTGTCCAAGGCTCCACGTACTGCCTCACCAACTTGAACTTTCTTACCATATTCCTTAAGCCTGTGATCTGCCCTCTGCCACAATTTCTTATCATGGTCTAGCCAATGTCAGCTCTTCCATGAAGCCTGCTCCCACCATCCTGTAGTACGTGAGAACTATCCGTTATTATCACCACCACCATCATCATCCTTACCATCACCAAATTTTTTGTCTTCCTGCTGTAAAACAGAATATGCCCGTTATCTATTTGGAATTCGGAAGTTAGGGCTAGGGTTAAAATGAGCTCCCATTTATTTCCCTTGCTGGTATAATGCCTACTTCAGCTGGGAAAGGCAGGTGGAGAGCTAGGATTAGCCCTCACCCAGTCCCAATGGGCGCGCGCACGCGTGCACACACACACACACACACACACACACACACACGCTGAGAATGCATTTTTCCTCCAGGTTTCTGTCCCTATAACAAACAACATGCAGAAGCAAACTGAGTGTTCCAAGTTATCCATGAGATTACACTCAATTTCACCCTAATGTGGCTTCTATCAGGAATTTTTTTTAACCATTACAGTGAAATAACACTTTGGGAAATGATTCTTCTCTCTGACATTACAAATACACACACATACACTTCCAAGTCCATAATAATCTAGTAGATATCTCGCCATCAGCACCCACAGCTAGCACATATTATAGAGAAGCATTCCAATTATGCCTATTTCTCATATTTTATAACATGTTCAGCACTCCTAATGTGAGGCTCTAAACATAAATTCTGAACACAACTTAGATCCAGGAGAAAAGTGGTTTTCTCATGTGAAACTGATATCCTCTCTTAAAGGCTTTCTTGAAGCATCTCAGTCTTCTCACTTGGCCTCCTCTTGTCTCCGCAGTCAGGCTGAGCACCAGGTTAACTTGCTCTAACGGTCTTTGGAACAAGATCTTTATCCTCTGCTCCCCTTTTACTAAATACTATTTGTTTTTGTTGTTTGATACTCTTTGGTCTTAATATTATCTGTGCATTGCTGATAAGCCACTTGACATCCTTTTTAGAACTAAATAGGATATTCATTAATTGATTAACTTCAAAACAACAATCCGCATCATAACTCTCTTAATTTCTACAGAAGCAAATGATTATAAAACAAAACCTGAAATGCAAATGAAAGCAATCAGAAAACCACAGAAATAAGGACTCCCTACTACTGTGTGTTTATAAAGGTAAGAAGTATCTACTTTGCTCAACACTATATCCTCAGCACCTGGCACAGCATTGACCTCAATAAGTGTGCAATAAAAGATGAAACAGATGAGTGTAAATAATAACACTTCTGCAACCACTAAGTCTCATGTTCTTTTTAGCATATGTACATTTTATAAAGAGGCAAACACACTAAGATTTGGTTGATCTTCTCCTCTACCACAGGTGACCATCTGCCCAGCGGTTATAGGTGTAGGTAGTAACATTAAGAATCTTGCCTACAAAGGGCACCAAAGATTTTATGAGGAAAGGTAGAAAAGAAAGAGGAAAGAAGGGAAGAGCAGAAAAGAACAACCTGAAAACAGACGTTTAAAAAGGCTTTTTAAATGTATGACTGTATGTCTCCTATGCCTCTTGCT